GGCCTTTTAGATATACTTTTTAAAATATTTTTGTTATATCCCGTTTGACAACTGCAAAACATTTTTTTTTTTAAAAGCCCATTGATCCTTCTAGAAATCTAGTGAGCTGATAACTTGCTATGCTCTGGGCTGACGTTTATCAGTGGCATTGTTACCAGCTATCAGGGTGGACTACAAAACACCTCCCCTTCTGTGTTCTTAGAAGAGGAAGGGGTATTTTGTAGTCTTAACACACTGTCCTAAGGCTACAATGCTGTTTCTCCATAGATAAAGCATGGTGAATATTGTCACTCTAGGACAGAAAGTGAGTTACTGGCAGGGTCACCAGTTAAAAAAAAAAACAAAAAGTCTGAAAAAGAAAACTAATGCAGCTACCATATCCAAGTATTGGTAAGCTGTGATATATTACATTTTTGTACTGGGGTTTAGATTCACTTTAAGCTATACGTTACCATTGGTGGTTTTATGTACAGAATTGTGGAGAATATGAATCCCATACAAACATAAATGGAGGACAGTAAAATAAACTGTAGGGGCCAGGGGCGGACTGACAACTCATGGGGCCCCTGGGCAATAGGGGATCATGGAGCCCCTGTGTCCTTGCCCAAACTCAAAAAAGCCTATGAAAAAGGTACCAGGGGCATCTCATGGGGCCCCCTACTGACCCCGGGCCCTTGGGCAGTGCCCGAGTTTCCAAATGGTCAGTCCGCCCCTGGTAGGGGCTTGTTTACCCCTGCAGCCATTGGCACCTCTCTGAGAAGCAATCCAAAGTGGATTGCTGTTCAGAGAGTGGCTGACAGACAGTGGAGGGGATATGACACCTCCTTACCGCATGTTTCAACCCTGAAATGCTTGCACCACTGCGCCTCAACCATGTGCGTTTACTTGAATCTTGAATGGGTCATAGTCAGTGACAGTTACTCCCTGCCAAATGCAGTGGAAGTATCATTTTGGCCGTAGCAAGCATTTGTACAACCCCCTTCAGCTTCCCTTTAAGGTAAGGCGGTAAAATCATGGCTCAACTGCCTTTGATTTTTTTTTTTGGCCATCCCAATGTGTGTGCATTCACCCAGAACGTTCTCTCTGGCAGGTCCCTTCCTCTGTGCAATCACAGAAATACAGGATTAGCCAGGCTGCTATCAATTCTCATAATTTTGATGTGTGTGTGCTTTTTTTTTTTTTTTTGTTTTTTTTTTGTTTGTTTTTTTATATGCTTCCTCATTTTAGATCAGCCTTGAAAATTGCTCAAACATGTTTCCTCACTGGCTGTGACACAAGGACATGCATGGAGTTCTGGGGAAAATGTGATATTTGGCGTAAAAAGTGAAATGAGAGCGGCGAGTAACTCACAGCAAGCAATTCATTTTGATGTGTTAAAGTCCCATCTGTCAGTTTGTGTTGAAATGTCCATCAGACATCTGTAGGAACACTAGTGATGGGAGTCCGGTGCCCAGGTTCCCAACTCCGCCTATTTGTATTAGACAACAGGAACTTACTCACTTTTTTCCTTTTTTTTCCTCTTTTACTACAAAGAATGTAGCAAGTATATTAAAGCAGGTTATACACAGATGTGTGGTATTTTGTTTTATTTTTTCAGGCAGCAGGTCGAATGTAAAAAAACTGACAGATTTCTGCATCCACACAAGCAATGTTGATGTGGGGATGTCCTGTACTGTGCTATTCTACTCTGACAGCGGGGACTGTCCCTGCCAGAATTTGGCCACAGCCATTAACTAAGCTCCGATGGAATGTTGGTTTTCCAGCAGGACCACTCATCAGACCGGCTTCTGTTGAACAGGGAGGGTTAACTTGGCCGACTCCTGCTGACCTGGATGATTTTCTGTACTAGGTATAGGTACTGGAATGCCATAGACAGTTGATTGACCGTTAATAATTAGTTTACAGATCTGATGGTGTCATAGAAACAAGTCATTATTGTCACGTACCTTTATTCACTGGATGACAGAACAGAGATCATCATCTGGAATTTTACACACCACCACCACATACGTACCATACCTTATATCTTACCCAGGGGTGGACTGACAACTCATGGGGCCCCCGGGCAATAGGGGATCATGGGGCCCATGTGTCCTTGCCCAAACTCAAAAAAGCCTATGAAAAAGGTACCAGGGGCATCTCATGGGGCCCCTACTGACCCTCGGCCCTCAAGCAGTGCCCGAGTTTCCAAATGGTCAGTCCGCCCCTGATCTTACCTGTACATATATACCTTGCCTGTATTTCTTACCCGTGACACATACAATACCACACCTGTATAGCTTACCCGTGACACATACAATACCACACCTGTATAGCTTACCCGTGGCACATACAATACCACACCTGTATAGCTTACCCGTGGCACATACAATACCACACCTGTATAGCTTACCCGTTGCACATACAATACCACACCTATATAGCTTACCCGTGGCACATACAATACCAAACCTGTATAGCTTACCCGTGGCACATACAATACCACACCTGTATAGCTTACCCGTGGCACATACAATACCACACCTGTATAGCTTACCCGTGGCACATATAATACCACACCTGTATAGCTTACCCGTGGCACATACAATACCACCACACCTGTATAGCTTACCCATGGTACATACATTGGTGTATTTAGGATTTGTGCTGCCCTAGGCAACACAAAAATCGTCCGCCCCCACGGACACTGACCAACACCAACCCCTCTCCCCCCCCCCTAGCCCCTCTCGTGGAGAAAGCCTGACATTGACCAGCAACACCCCTGCCCCCCACCTGGGAGAGCCTTCCACTAAACCCCAACCCCCCTACCCCAGCGATAGAGAGATTCATCTTCATCTCTGGACATCCCCAGGAATTAGAGTCAGGCTCTACATACACCATTAAGCATCCCACAGCCTCTCTTGGATCCCACTTGGTTCCCATGAAGCATGTGTCCCTTCTTTCATGCCTTCTTTTGGGTGAAGGTGCTGCCCCTCTTAAAAAATGCCGCCCTAGGCAAGTGCCTTGTTTGCCTTGTGGTAAATACACCCCTGGGTACATACAGTACATACCATACTTGTGTATCTCCAAGGAGCAGGGCCCTCCTTTCCCTCTTGTATTGAACTGTATTGTTGCTGTATTGTCTCCCGTTATATTGTAAAGCGCTGAGCAAACTGTTGGCGCTATATAAATCCTGTATAATAATAATAATCTTACCTGTACATATACACTCACCGGCCTCTTTATTTAGGCACACCTGTTCAATTGCTTGGTAACACAAACTGCCAATCATCCAATCACATGGTAGCAACACAATGCATGTAGGCATCTAGACGTGGTGAAGACAACTTGCTGAAGTTCAAACTGAGCATCAGAATGGGGAAGAAAGGGGATTTAAGTGACTTTGAATGTGGCATGGTTGTTGGTGCCAGACAGGCTGGTCTGAGTATTTCAAAAACTGCTGATCTACTGGGATTTTCATGCGCAACCATCTCTAGGGTTTACAGAGAATGGTCCGAAAAAGAGCAGCAGTTGTGTGGATGAAAATTCCATTGTTGATGTCAGAGGAGAATGGGCAGACTGGTTTGAGATGATAGAAAGGCAACAGTAACTCGAATAATCACTTGTTATAACCGAGGTATGCAGAATACCATCTCTGAACGCACAACACATCGAACCTTGAAGCAGATGGTCTACAGCAGCAGAAAACCACATCGGGTGCCACTCCTGTCTGCTAAGAACAGGAAATGGAGGCTACAATTCACACAGGCTCACCAAAATTGGACAATAGAAGATTGGAAAAACCTTGCCTGGTCTGATGAGTCTATTTCAGCTGCAACATTCAGATGATGGGTTCAGAATGTGGTGGCATGGATCCATCCTGCCTTGTATCACCAGTTCAGGCTGGTGGGGATGGCGTGTGAGATATTTTCTTGGCACACTTTGGGCCCCTTAGTACCAAATGAGCATTGTTTAAGTAACACGGCCTACCTGAGTATTGTAGGTGACCATGTCCATCCCTTCATAACTCCAGTGTCCCCATCTTCTGATGGCTCCTTCCAGCAGGATAATGCACCGTGTCACAAAGCTCAAATCATCTCCAACTGGTTCCTTGAACATGACAATGAGCTCCCTGTACTCCAATGGTCTCCACAGTCACCAGTTCTCCATCCAATAGAGCACCTTTGGGATGTGGTGGAACGGGAGATTCACATCATGGATGTGCAGGTGACAGATCTGCAGCAACTCTGTGATGCTATCATGTCAATATGGACTCTCTGGTACTATAGGTTACTGGGATGATGGTTGGCCAGCTGTCCCTTTGTCTAAAAGAGGGTTAGGTACTATGACCTCAGTGACCTCTATTTTACAGTGTTGGGAACATGGCACCAATTTGAGTTCTCTTTCCCAAATACACTTCAAAGTGTATATTAACATCTCCGAAGCCCTAAACCGCACACTTCCCCTGAAGTCCAGGTATACAAGCCTTTTAATTTGCAGCATTTGTGGCATTATTCTGACCTCCTCAGTTTTTTTATTTTTACCTTCTCAGAAATTCTCTGCAATCATAAGAGGAAAACCCATTAGATCTTCCACCAGATTAGAACATTCAGCCTGAGCGTCCTGTAGCATGATTGTGAACAGATATGGTTAAACTGTAACTGTTCATCTGCAGAAATGAAATTCCCGGAATGCGTTTGTTGATCTGTACCACGGATTTGTATGTCCAACTGCTTGTATCTCCTGACATCCATAGCTCAGAGCTGTGGTGGGTCACATTGCTGGAGATGGCAGTTCAGTGGCATTGGGTGAGAGTACTCATGGCCAGGGGCGGACTGGAAGTTCAGGGAAGCAATGCAGAAGAAGGAGAAGGACAGGGCTGGAAAAGAATCACAATAAAGCAAGTATTGTAATATGCTAGTCTGGCCAAGGTGTTTTAAATTTAAACAAATGAGGATTTAGTAGAACTTTAAAGCTGCACTCTGGGCACAAAAACATTTGTGTAAATATCTTCCTTAAAGTGTTCCTAAACCCAGGACCCTGCATTCACTATATCTGGTCTCCCCGGACCCTGCATTCACTATATCTGGTCTCCCCGGACCCTGCATTCACTATATCTGGTCTCCCAGGACCCTGCATTCACTATACCTGGTCTCCCCGGACCCTGCATTCACTATACCTGGTCTCCCCGGACCCTGCATTCATTATACCTGGTCTCCCCGGACCCTGCATTCATTATACCTGGTCTCCCCGGACCCTGCATTCACTATACCTGGTCTCCCCGGACCCTGCATTCACTATACCTGGTCTCCCCGGACCCTGCATTCACTATACCTGGTCTCCCAGAACCCTGTATTCACTATACCTGGTCTCCCCGGACCCTGCATTCACTATATCTGGTATCCCTGGACCCTGCATTCACTATATCTGGTCTCCCAGGACCCTGCATTCACTATACCTGGTCTCCCCGGACCCTGCATTCACTATATCTGGTATCCCTGGACCCTGCATTCGCTATATCCGGTCTTCCACAGTACAGAGAACATGGAAATGCAATTATTTCAGTAAATATAAACTGCTAAATACCTTTTCTCATCAGCAGTTAGAGCAGTCTTGTGACTTCTATCCGTGTCCATGAGAGCACTGGTTAAAGCTTGTAGGAGGAGTTTTCTTTCTGCTCTAGGAGGATGCAAAACCCCTGACCCTCTGTCTGGACAGTGCTGATTGGCCCTGTGCTGATCACGTGCATTCTCCCAAGAAAAAAAAAAAACCTCTCTAGCAATACACACTAAACTGAGCATGTGCATGTGGCTATGGGTTCAGTCTGTCTTATCAGCAGACAAGACGTGGATATTTGAACCAGAGAAGGGCCAGAGAAGACAGGATCAAACAGCCTTTTTACACAATGCAGAGGATTAACCCCTTAGGTTCCTCAGTGAGTATAACAAGCATGCTTTACTGCATATACAGACTGATTTTACTGTTCTGGGTTTAGTAACACTTTAAGAGCAACAAAGAATATAAATCCAGCTCTTGTGTGCTATTTTCCTTTGCAAACCCAGATATTTCCTTGTAAAAGCAGCAGTAAGTGACCTCGTCACTGCTGTACATAGTCTATGCAGAGAGCAGAGCTGTGAGAGGGGCCCAGCGGGCCCCACCCACTACAGACTTCTTAATGGAAACTACAGGAGGGGGCGGAGACAAGACCAGTCACCCTGTACAAGGAGAAAGAGCAGCAGCGACTGGTCTGTGTTATAGAACATTTCTGCAGAGACAAAGTTAATCACAGAGATCTGGAAGAAATACAAAGAGCAAGCCAAGAATCAAGGAAGAATACACATGACTCTTGTACTTCGACAATATTTGCTTTGGCCGGAGTTCAGCATTAATATTAGTTTTTTTTCCCACAAATAGATCTTTCCTTTGGTGGTATTTGATCTGCAATGGGTTTTTCATTTTTTGCGATATAAACACAGAAAAAAACGAAAATTCTGAAAAAAAAAGCCCTGCTATAAAACATAATCAACAAAAAAAAAAAAAAGAAAATCCAATTTCTTCATAAATTTTGGCCAAAATATATTCTGCTACATGTTTTTAATAATAAAAAAAATCCCATTTAGTGTATATTGATTGGTTTGCATGAAAATGATAGCACCTACAAAGTATGGTGTGTAAATATATACACAGTGCAATTAAATTTTTTTTTTTCTACTAATGGTTGCGATCAATAACGTTTAATGGGACTGCGATAGTGTGGCAGGTATTTTGACACTAACTGCCACTGGGGGGAACTAACTGCCACTGACATCACCAGCTACATTATTTCAGTGATAAAACTGTATGCTGTCACTGTATTGATGACAATGGCTGGGAGTAGGTTAACATCTAGGGCGATCAAGGGGGTTAAATGTATGTGCGTAATGCAGTCCATAGACGGTTCGTTTATCGGCTGAATTTTCAACCGAAAAACGAAAAATCGGTCGTTCTGTTGCCACCAATGCTTACGAAAATCGTCTGTTTTTCGTAAATTTTCCAGCATGACCAATAAAAGAAATGAGGATGAACTGACGACATTGCCCCACTTACGGTGCGAATATCGTCCGATTATTCTTTCAGACGAAAATTCGGCCAATAAACGAACAGTCTATGGCCTGCATAAGGTGTGCTGCTTTTACTACTAGATATCTCAGCTACACATCCCTAAAGCCGGCCATACATGGGTCGAATTCCAAACGAATTTTCTTTAGAAAATAGTTTTATGCGTTTTCAAATCTGATGGTGCCACCATTGATTTTGAAATTTAACAAACCAAGCCTTCAATTTCTCCTCATGTTGCTACAGAAATGAATTTTCGTGGCCAAGATTTTTCTTTTCTTTCCAGGTCACAGCTTTGTATTTCTTGTACGATTCTCTCATCATTGATTCGAAATTCATTCATTTTTCAAAAAATTTCCAACATGCCTGATCACTCAAATTCGATGGTCACACGAAAATTGGCCGTTTCTATGACCCACTAATGGTGCGAAATTCTTAGAAAAGATCTGACAGATCGCTCCCTCTGTACAAAGCTCTGGGCTGTGATTGCACACAGCCAATCAGCAGGTTCTGGCTGGGAATCATTGGCAGGGACCTGCAGACAGACTCCCGCTGTGTACAATCACAGCAGGTACCGTCCGCCCGGCAGGCTTGCATACGCGCACGCTAAACCAGAAAGTAGGCAGGGACATACGGATACATCACTTTGCCTACAGTGGCCGCTTGTCCGCAGTGCATTGCAGGCAGGTGGTCACCACCAAGTTCAATTTTTTTTTTTTTAAAACATCAATGCCCAAAGACAAACTTAATAATAGGCATGATTTACAATATTGTGCTTTCACTTTACCACCCTTAGCTAATTAGCATTTTAGATTTCTACTGGTAATTTCCTATTCCTTTCAGGAACTTTGACAGCAGTCACTCTGACTTAAAGTGGATGTAAACCTCAGACATGAAATATGAACAAAGCATATCCCTCTATAGTGTGTATGTGTCTCTATCCAGAGCACTAAGTGTCATTTCTGTCTGTTGCTTCATTTCTTTGCTATCAGCATGAACTACTTCTGACAAGTTTTCCTGACACCAAGAGAAAAATGGTGACGGGAGGGATCTCCAGTAGATTGACAGCTCCAGCTCTGTTCCTCTGACCTGTGTGGAGGAATGTGTCTCTTTCCTCCAATCAGCTCTCAGAGATCTCACTGATTTCTGCAGATTGTATTATCAGCTCGTCGCCCCCTTTTTCCTGAACTTTGACAAGCTTTACAAATTCAGCACTTTGAACAGATGTAGAGAAAAGAAGACTGCAAATAAACAGGTACAACTTATATAGGAGGATTTGTTTAATCTCTGTGTGTCACCTGAGGCAAGTCACTTCACTGGGTATATGTAAGGGTTTACAACCACTTTAACCCCCCTGGCGGTATTCCCGAGTGTAGCTCGGGGTAAAGTTTCAGTACCACAAGCGGTAACCCCGAGCTACACTCGGGCTTACCATGCGGCGCTGCTCAGGGATCTCTCGATCACTTACCTTGTCCTGCGCTCCCGCGATGTCCCTCCTGCAGTGTCCCCTGTAATGCTGGCATCTGTCATCTGTGTTCCATCCCCTGCGACATCGGGACGTACGGGGGCCGGAACAGCGGGAAATTTGAAAATTACATATTGTGACATTCACTAAATTCACTAAAATCACATAATATAACATTCCTGTATCAAACCATTCCACATACTGTACATTTTGTCCCGAGTGCTTTGTCCTGCGCTCTGCCTGCATTTTGACTGTTCTTTCTGCCTGGAAACTGAGAAAACTCCATGGCGTCCAAAAAGCGTCCCTTTAGGTCAAAAGCGGTTTTAGACCGGCTAGAGAACAGCGATAGTAAATCAGAACCACTTGCAGAATTGAGTGATAATGATTCGTGGGGGAAATTCCTCATCAGACACTGAAAACGATTCTGCGACTTTGCTCAGTGATGTGCGAACTTGGCGCTCTATTTCAAATTTCAGTGTTTTTTGGTTTGATTATATTATTGAATTAAATTTATTATTATATTATTATTTTTTTTATGATTATTTATTAAATTATAATTTATGATTTCGTGTTTCAAATTTTATCCTACCCGGGATGTTTACTAGACTCTTGTTCGTATAGATTTCAGTGAGTTATTCCTAAAAATTACAGCCTACAATAAAAAAAATACATATTTCCATGCAAAAAAAAATGTACCACTTTGAGCACAGAAATATGGACATAATCAGACTGCTAGGGAGGTTAAGCAAGCCATTGATTTTACATTGCTAGATTTCCTCATCAACACAGTCAATGTTGATGGGGGAATTCCTCCTGCAGTGCTATTGTGTTCTGCCGATGGGGAACCCTCCCTGCCAGCAGAGCACAATGATCATTGATGGTGGCTATAGCTGCCAGCACTGCTTGCATGAAAAAAAAAACCAGTCAGTTGGCTGTACTGAAGTCGATTGATGGATCGACTTCAGTACAAGCAGCCTGCCCATAGATGTATCTAGTCTAGTCCCAGTTGAATTGGATCCATCTATGGCCAGCTTAAATCTGCAACTCCCAATTTCCTCTGATTTTAGGCTGGCCTTACACTAGTAGAATGTCATAAAAAAAATTTTAAGAGTGTTTGTTCAATTTTCTAATCATTAGTGGGGTCTAATCAATGTTCGTTTTTGACCGTAGCGGCAAAAATTTTTAAAGGAGCGGGTTAGAAATTTTTTCTTAGACGTATGAATTTCTAACAGTGCGTATGGTTTTCGTTTGGGGAAAGTTAATTTGTTCCAAAGTCAGTTGTTAAAAGCAAACAAAACTACTTTTGAACGGCATCTGTCAGTCATCAAATGTACTGAAATATTTCATACAAATGTTTGTTTTCAAACAATCTACTAACGCATGGCCAGCTTTTTTACTTCATCAACGGTACAGGGTCAGCAGGACTTGTCAGTTGAGCCATGGGGCAAGGGGCGGACTGACCATTCGAGCACTCGGGCACTGCCCGAGGGCCCGGGGTCAGTAGGGGCCCCATGAGATGCCCCTGGTACCTTTCATTGGCTTTTTTGGGTGTGGGCGAGGACACAGGGGCCCCATGATCCCCTATTGCCCGAGGGCCCCATGAGTTGTCAGTCCACCCCTGCATGGGGCTTTATATTACATCATTGGCTTCAACTGCTTGATGATACTGTTCTCAGCAAAAAGTCTGACCTGTCTTTAGAAGGTGATGATGGTTACATGTATAGACCGCAGCCATATAGAGCGGTCTTTCTCAACTAGCATGCCCAGACACCCTGGGGTGCCTTGAAGTTTCTTCAGGAGTGCCTTGGCAAAATCTCTGAAAATTGCTCAAAAAGTGTATACAAGCCAGTAAAGGTATGTGTGAACGCACTATTATCCCCCAAAAAAATGTCAGCAGCTGTGCACAAAGGTAACCAGATAAAACCTTAAAAAGTATAAACAAGTGCAGCGCTTAAAATTGATAATAGTATATAAGTGCAAAGTCCATATAATAAATGAGTAGAAAGGGTGATTAAGCCTTA